TTTTTTTTTTCTGTTTACTCCGTTTTGAAAGTCGAATTGTTTTGCAAAAGGTCATTGAGTTTAACGTGGTGATCTTCAGTTCATGTGTTTAGTGTTGATCAGTTGTTTATCGGAAAATTCTCAATGCTTTTTAAAATGTTCTTGCATTGATTTTTCACTTCTCTTTACTGTAAGTTCCAGGAGATGAACTTTTATGAACTTAAATGACCTCACTGCATAATTTATGTTCATAGTTAAAATGGGATGAAATGTACTGCATATACTCACATTGTAAATGTGCTTAATGAAAGATTGATAAATGAATTCAAGATATCGTAAAGTGTTACTTATGTTTGTATGTTGCAGGTATGATTTTGGATGGATCCTTGTGCTGTCGGCACTGTTTACTTTCAGTGATGCATCTAGGTAAAGTGAAAAACCTGAGAAGCTTTTAATACAATTTATACAAAAGCCTTTTATGCTCGTTTTATACAATACATTTGTTTCTCTACACTCTCAGTCAAACTGTCAACCAGGAGCTTTCAAATATTTTCAATGAGCTCTGGAAGCTGGATGTGAATCGCCTGATGCCTGGGACTCATTACAATATCTCACTACAGGTGTCAGTATTTTCTAATGTCAAACAACATTAAGTATAGTGACAGATCAAGTGTAACATGAAATTGCCTTACATTTCTTTTAGGGCAAAGCTGGTTACATACCACAGGGAAGCACCAGTGCGGTAGACCACGCCTCATCCCCACTGTTTACCAGCGTCGATGAGGCCAAACTGAACTCCATGACCACGTATGCACGTATGTTTCTTTTGTAAAAACCTCTAACCCCTTTAACTATTCCGTCAGTTTGGACAAAAGCTTATTTATCCGAGGAGCTGTGCTGAAACATGCCTTTAACAGGGACACACCAAGATTCTTTATAAAATGTAATTATGCAGTTAATCTTAAAGTTGATTGTTGGAATTCTGAATTATGTTGCATTCCGTCTTTCCTTTTGATTTATGAGAGAATCCACATGGTTGCTTGTTGCAACATGTTACCACACCATCACATATTTTGAATA